AAAGAAAGAAAGAAAGAAAGAAAGAAAGAAAGAAAGAAAGAAACCATTTTTTCCTTTATGAGTGTTGGGTTTTTTTCTCTGGTGTTTTGAGGTTATGAAGATTTTTAGTGTGTAAAAAAAATCAGCGAAATTACAAAACCTAAAGTTCACAGCAACAGAATTTTTAAAATCAAAGAAGACATTCTTTCCTGGTTGCGTGAACCCACCCCGCCTCCATTATTTTTATTTTGTTTTCATCTACAAAATAGGTTTTATTCATAAAAAACCCAATGCTGAAAAGTTCAAGAGATACAATTTTAATTTTATATATTTCCAAAATCCAGACTTCAGTAGGTATTATCCTTCAGTATTGTACAAGTAATTTTATTACATATTTTTAAAAACATTTTTGAAGCCATCATTAAATACATGTTTGAGCTGCTGCAGGGAGGTCACTGAGGGTCAGGGAAAGAGACAGCATCCCTCTCATCAGCACCAATTTATCGAAGCCTCCGGTGACAGGCAGCAGAGTTTATCAGTCCAGGCTCTCTCACACATCAGTGGTGGGGTGGGGGGGGATCTCTAAGCCGGTTACACTGTGGCGTATCGAGCCGGACCAGGACAGGATCGGAAAGGAGACGGCCCGCTGGGGAAATCAGACAGGAATACTGGGTTGTGAGTCGGGGAGGGCTCCGTCAAGGCCTGCCGTTTGGAGCGGTRGCGCCTCTGGTAGCGGAAGTTTAAGGGTGGGCGCAGGGCCACGGGACCCGCAGCCTCTTCAGAGGACGACTCAGAAATCCACGGGTCGACCGGGCGTTGCTGCGGGTTCGCCACGTCCTCAGCAGACTCGCTGGAAGAGGAGCCGAAAGGGTTAGAGGAGTTCACCGTGACCGGGGGTCCCGGGGGGACAGAGGGGACAGCTGCAGGGTCAAACGGGTCAGGCTGGGCAGCAGTGGGGTTCGGCGGGTCAGAGGGAGCAGGCTGCAGACTCTTTCCTGGGTCTTCAGGCTGAGGTGAAGAGGTCGGGATCGCCGTGTCCGGAGGTAGGACCTGAACCTGGGGCCGAACTGGTCGAACCGTGTCCACYTTCTGCAAACAAACAGGAACTGATGATGTCATCGGCTGAAGCTCAGTCACAGTTTTACATCACGCACCACGGCTCTGAGAACAAGGACACTATCATTACTGTCCACCGCTGAAGCCAAAATGCTGTTTTTACTTATGTGTGTGTGTGTGTGTGTGTGTGTGTGTGTGTGTGT